TAATTTAAGTACTCACACCCACATTCACACGTGGTCAGTCTTCCTTCCTGTCTGGATTTGTGTCCTTAGATTGGGGGCTTTGCTCTGACCTCTATTTGGCCGTGTGTGTGGCCTGCCTGGCCTTTCCCACTTGGATAAATATACTACATCATATTTATTTTTCCAGACTTCTTTGTCCATTTAGATTTCAGGACTCTGGCCAATTCCACAATCTCCTGGAACTCCTAGCTCTGGCTTTTCCTGGCCTGACTCACTGCTGGTACCCAAGGCCCTTAAGGCTGCATTGCTTGGCATTCTCAGAGTTTTCTCCACTGGACTGGAGGCCTTTGGACTCCAGAATTGGGCTATTGGTCTTTGACCCAGAATTGGTCTTTTTCTTCACTGTCTTTGACATAACTTTTTGCTTTTCTTCTTCCTCCAAATGCTGGTGTTTTTCAGAGTTCTGCCCTAGGCCCTCCTTTCTCACTCTGTACAGCTTTCATGGGCCATGCCAATCACTTCTCCGTCTCCTAGCTACCATTTGCATTTACATGCTAATCCCTTCTGCATCCATGTCTGTAGCCCAGATCCTTCTGAGTTCCAGAATTACAGAAACCTTACATTACATTTAGATGTCTTGCTGGCACCTATCGCAGGAGCAAGGGGTACATTATTTGTGGTAGGAACACCTGAATTAATAAATAAATTCATTACAAACTATCAACTCATCCTTGTTAGACACTCCCTAGATAGTCATGGTTAGTCATAGATAACTGAAACTGTTTTAGGTGGGAGGAGGGCCTAGATAGGAAAGAAAGGTTATACCAGTTTCCCCATTCCTTTCACATAGATTAGCTGACATTGCTTTCAGAGGTCTTTGATGCTATTTTAAGAAATGAGCATTAGGCCTTCTGGTCAAGACAGAGGCATAGGTTGCTTTGCTTCCTCCCAAAACCAAAAAAAAGGGGACAATAACAAATTTAAAAACAAAAAACAACTAGAATGCCATAAAATTGAACTGTATGGAAGTCCGACACCCGAGGAGTTAAAGAAGAAACATTCATCCAGAGTGGTAGTATTGAGAACTGCCCTTCGGATTCCAGAAGCTGTAACCTGCCCCATGGCTAAGGCTGAGTGAGACAGCTTGGGGCCATAAGCCACTAAGGAGATAAAAGCTTATCTTCCGGGCAGGGGCACCACCTCCACCCCCTTTACTTCACCCTGCTTGGCCCTAGGCAGGTGACTAGTTAGCCAATGACAGGTAAGATTCCTCAAGGAAGGGATGGCCTAGGCAGGCACGGTTGTGATGGGGACATCAGGGAAGCACTTTTGGGGACCTTCACCCCTTGGCTTTGACATGGCCTGAGTCCTCATTCTGTCTGTGAGAAGTCTCAGAATCTCTGGGCTGCCTTACTTCCCCCACCTGACTTAAGCCTGAAACGAGGACAGAGGGCTGTGTGGCCTTAGGCAGGAATGGGCGGTTCCCCAGGGTGATCAGGCCTATGAAAGAATGCATAAAATCCTGTGAAATCTGCTTTGCTAAGAATGCCCTCAATTTTCTGATAAGGGTCCAAACTTAAAATGAGTTTTTTTCCTAAAGTTTTATGGCCTTTTTAGCTCTCTGACCCTTACTCAGAATAAGCCCTCATAGTTCTTGGAATGTTATCGATTGTTTAATCATTTCTGCCTGACAATGATTGATGAGCTTTACCTTTATTCCTGTGCAAATTAAACCCAATTAAAGCCCATTAAAGAACTTTCTGAAGGTATGAAGAACATATCTTGGTACTTACTCTCAACGTCGACGGCCAGGGATGGGGCTCTGTGGGAGGAGCCCCCAAGGTAGGAGGGGCAGAGACAGGAAGCCTGGGCAGAAAAAACTCACGGCAATGGCAAGGTGGTGGCTGGTGGACTGGGTGGTCCTACATTCTCATGTGGATAAACCAGGAGGAACAACTGGGGAGCCAGATAAACTGCACAACCCAGGATTCCCGTGTGGGGAAATAGAGCCTCAAAAATCTCTGAATGAAAACACCTGTGGGGGTTGCAGTGGCGGGAGAAACTCCCATTATCACAGGATGGTTTGTCGGAGAGACCTACAGGATCCTAGAATGTACACAAACCCACCCACCTGGGAATCAGCACCAGAAAGGTCCTGTTTATTTTGCAAGGCTCTTATCTTACTAGCATGTGTGAAAGTCCATTTTATTTTTAATCAGGAACTTATGGAATTGAACTTATTTTGTGACTTAATTTTACCTCGTAGAAACATTAATAAAAATTAAAAATAAAAAATCTTCATGTACATTTTTATTGTGTTGTACTGTGGGTATTAAGATATTATAGGGATGGGGTTGGGAAGGTGGGTGAAAAAATTCAAGAGATTAAAAGTACAAATTTGCAGTTGCAAAATAATCACAAGGATGTGAAATAAAGCAGAGGAATATGGTCAATAATATTGCAATAACTACATATGATGTCAGATGGGTACAGGAGTTATGGGGGATTACTTCCTAAGTTATATAAATGTCTAAGCTCTATTCTGTACACCAGAAACTAATATAATATTGAATGCTGATTGTAATTAAAGAGTTAAAAAAAAGATATCACAGGTAGTGGATCCAAGTTGGCCAAGAAATAGGTTTAACTTTACTTAATTGGATTAGAGGATTTACTTGATCCAATAAGTGGGGTCAAGACCCTGATTGTGGGTGGAGACTAGGTCTGGAGGACTATAAAAACACAGAGCCTCTGTTCTCAAACACTCTTCAGAGGGAGGCGAAGCTCAGGAGAGGTGGAGGAAGTTCGGAGTTCAGACCTTCAGCACCCTGGCTGAAAGTCCCTAATGTAAGGTAAGGGATCGCTTCTGTCTGGGCTGGTTCGCCAGCCCCACTTCTCTTTGCTACAATTACCTTTCCAATACCTTTACTCTTGGATTTCGGGAGAGAAAGAATTCACCTCATTCAATGCCATGGAAGTTTACTCACTTTCCATTCTAACATCACTATTTAAATTTTTACATATTAACTTTAGGCCATTTTTTAGAGGTACATGTATTTTTCTGTGTTTTCAACTACAGTGTATGTTTTTAAAATAGTTCCTTTTAATTTTCTGACATTTTCTTCAAGTCTTTTCTGGGTTTTCACTTTAACATACCTGCCACTTTCAACAGCTGTGTTATAATTAACTGAATCCTTTCATTATTATATAGTCAGATCGTTTTCAATTATTTGGGAGCATAGATAACATTGCAAAGAAGTTTTCAAAGAGGTAGCATTTTTTCTTTTGCAAAATTGTTTTCGCAGATTTTTTTCAAAAAATTTTTTAAATTTAATTATTTTTCAAGTAGTTTTCTGCCTTTTACTCCCTTCCCAGCCCACCCCCTGTGCTCCCCACCTCCCTCCCATTTCCATCCCCCTTAGCTGTTGTCCATGTGTCCTTTATACTAGTTCCTCTAAATTCCTCCCCCTTTTCCCCTGAAATTCCCTCCCCTCTCCCCTCTGGTTGCTGTCCCCTATTCTCTGCATTTCAGTGTCTTTGTTTTTATTTTGCTTGCTTGTTTGTTTTGTTTAGCTTCCTGCTAAAGGTGAGATCATATGGTATTTGTCCCTCAACCCCAGGCTTACTTCACTCAGCATAATGCTCTCCAGTTCCATCCATGCTGTCGCAAAGGGTAGGAGCTCCTTCTTTCTTTCTGCTGCATAGAATTCCATTGTGTGTATGTACCACAATTTTTTGATCCATTCATTTACTGATGGGCACCTAGGTTGCTTCCAACTCTTGGCTATTGTAAATTATGCTTCTATGAACATTGGGGTGCATAGGTTCTTTTGGATTGGTGTTACACCATACACCAAAATAAATTCAAGGTGGATTAAGGACTTCAATATAAGCTGTGACACCATTAAAGGCCTAGAGGAGAACATTGTTAGAAAAATCTCAGATTATTTCACGCAGCAACTTTACTGATACGTACCCTAGAGCAAGGAATATAAAGGATAGAATAAACAAATGGGATCTCATCAAAATAAAAAGCTTCTGTGTGGCTAAAGAAAACAGTATTAAAATGAAAAGACAACCGATTGTATGGGAAAACATGTTTTCGTAGATAATCTTGAAAGGTGGGTTAGGCAAGCACATTTACATTGCAAGCACGGTTTCAATTTGCCGGTGTAGTTTTTTTTTTGAAATGGTGATAAGGGGATTTGAAGAAGAGGTTATCTCTGTTGCTGCTCAGCCAGGCCCTGTCAAGAAGTGGGGGCTTCCAAAGACTCCATGTTGCACTCGGTAGATATCCTACCTCTGGTTATACAACTCTGTGTGGCTCTGGAGTCTAGCTGAGGCTGGGAGCATGGAAGGCTAATAAGGATTCATGAGGTGAAGATGAGTTCAGGGTGCTCTAGTAATCCAGGTTTTCATCCTTAAAACCAGTTCTATGATGGGCATATCATTTATTTTGCAGTGGTTTTGGCTAGTTGTATTCACATAGGATACTTTTCTTTGAAATTTTGAGGGCTCCTTAGAGTCACTTTTCTGTGATGAGTAGGGTAGGATTGGCTTTATGGTTGTATCTAAATGTGGAAATTCTTTTTCTTGGACTGCAGGTAACCTACAAATGAATGCTGACAGGGGCAGAGACTGTACTCCTAGCGCCTATCAAAGACCCAGTTGGACTGAGCTCCCAGAGATAAAACTTCCCCTGGAAGTCTCTAGACAAGGTAAACTGCCATGCTTGAAAAGATGATGTCCACTTTCCTATTTCTCTATCGTGATCACCTAGATTTTGGATTGTTTTTATAGCTTCTCTCACAGATTTTGCCTTTACTGTGATCCTCTGGTGACTTAGTGTCACTCATGTATAAGCTATAGAAAGATTTATGTTATTTAATTTTTGTATTGGTTTTAGGTCCGGCCTGATTGTTGAAGAGCAGATACTGTACTGAGGGCTCCTCATTGCTCCCAGAAGACCCTAAAGGACCACTGGAGCTCAGTTGACTGCTAAGGAGTGACCTTGAGAAGCCATGTTTGCAAGACTGCGAGACGAAGCCACCTGTTCAGTTTGTCTGGAAATTTTCAACTGTCCCATTTCTCTCTCCTGTATGCACATGTTCTGCTATAACTGCATGCAACTTTGGTTGCAGGAAATGAAAGATCTGAAATTAACCTGCCCCGTATGTCGAGGAGAAAACCAGAAACCACCTTTGGAAGAATGGCAAGTTAGTGTACTCTCACTTCTCATCAGACAGCACCATTTCCTCCTGGACCAAAGTCTGTGCATGACAGAGAGGCTCTTGAAGTTCCAGGAGGATATGACTCTGGACACAGTCACTGCTAACTCCTGCCTTGTCCTCTCTGAGGACCTAAGGAAAGTCCACTGTGGGAAGATCTGCCACAACTCGATGGAAGATCCCCAGAGATTTGCCGGTATGGCCTGTGTCCTGGGCACCCCATGCTTTTCCTCTGGTCGCCATTACTGGGAAGTAGAAGTGGAGGAGGGGAAGGAGTGGGCTCTGGGAGTCTGCAAGGAATCAGTCGACAGAAAGAAGAAGAGCAGCTTCTCCTCAGAGCATGGTTTCTGGACCATTAGCATGAAGGCAGGAGCAATATACTCTGGCTCCATCCCAGACACCAGAATTCCTGCAAACCCTGGCCTTAGACGCATAGGAATTTTTCTAGATGTTGAGATGAAAGAGATCAAGTTTTTTGATGTTAGAAATGATACCCTTATCTGTACTCATAGTGAATTGTCTTTGGACCCTTTGCGTCCATTCTTTTGTCCTGGGTTGCCCGGAGAAGAAGACAGTGGTGGCCTACTGAGCATTTGCTCATGAGAAATTCACAATGTTCTTTATGTTCTTGGGAGGGAGACTAGCTCCTCTCCCACCCTCATACTCCTAAAAATGGGTTTGATTTCAGTGGCTATACTTGATTGTGTAAAGGCCCAGATGATGTTAGGTGGGCTGGACCAATGGTTTTCAGTCCTGACTTTTAGTTACAAGTGCAGGAGAAACTTAAAAAATTCCCACATCCATGACCATACCTACACCAATCAAATTAGAATCTCTGGGGATAAGACACAGACAGTGACACTTTTCTAAGTTTACTAGGTAATTTCAATGTGCAGCCAGGATTAAGGAACACTGGACCAGAACACTGATTTTAAAACTTTATTGTGCATCAGAATTTTTGAGTAAATTCAGTGGGTCTGGGATGGAGCCAAAGGATTTGCATTGTAATAAGTTCTCGAGTGAATGAATGCTGGTGGGGACCACACGTTGAAGCCAGTGGACTAAAGGACAAAATATTTTAATTTAATTCTTGTTCTAAATCAAATTAAATCTCAGTTTAAACTTAATTTTGTATTTAAGTGTCTACATTAAAAACAACCCCTGGAACTGAAGAGAAGGGAGAGAAGAATGAAGGGGGGTGGGTGACTATGGGGATAACTTCCTCCTGAGTCCCCCCGAATGCCACAGATGAGGTGCGTAAATATGACCGAGACATGCTGAGATCCGTGTGGGGGGCAGAGTGGGCTGTAGCCAGTTTCTCAGGGGAGACAAAGGCCAGCAGCGGCCAGTTTCTCTGAGGAGTAAAAGGTCCCGAGTGCCCTCCTCCATTGCCTTTTATTGGGATCAAATAGTAAATAATATTTCAAAGAAATCTGAGGGCTTAGTGTGAGTCAGTGTCTGTCAGGAAAGGGGGTTGCAGAACTTTGGGGAGAAATACTCATTTCCTCTTGAACCCTTAATTTATGAATGAAAGCATTCTTAGCAGATCAGATTTCACAGGTTTATCAAGAAGTCTTTGTGATGCCAGATTTTTTCCCCAGGACACGCTCTAGCAAGGCAAGGAGCTGCACCTCTCCCCAAAGGTATTCAGGCTTAAGAGGATTAGAGCCAGGAAGCCCTTCTTAGAGAACATGGGGACTGGGGCTTTGTCAAAGCTGGGGGGCGGGGGGCAAGAGTTCATTGCTGTTTGTTGCAACCCCTGGAGTCCTTCCATGAAGGCCTCCCAAGTGATTAAGTCTGGCTTAGGTTGCCCCCCCCACCCCTGTGAGGGGTCTTACTGGTCATTGACTTCTGACCAAGCTTTGGGGGCAGGGAGAAGAAACTGAGGCAGCATTTGCTACCAGAGACAGGCTTTGTCTCCTGCAGCTGGCACTCCAGAGGTTGTCCCTCACCCTTAGCCACAAAGGGTAGAGGTACAATTCCTAAAACCAGGCAGAGCGGTCTACTACAGGTGATCTTAGTGGGAATTAGATGAGTGTGTTAACAAAACTCAGAGCATTAGGGACATTCTTTGTTGTAGACTGCTGTATTCCTGTGTATTACAACCCAATAAAAGCCCTGGAGCAAGAGGCTCCGGGCCTTTTTCTCCTCGGAGAAACTGGCCACAGCCCACTTCTCCTCCCCAAGCAGATCACATCATGTCTCGGCCATATTCATTCCTGTCCATGGCACTCGGGGGACTCTCGAAGTTGCCCCCACATCTGGCGCTCGGAACAGGGACTTAAAGGGACCTCTTTCAAGCCAGAGGCCTTGAGCCACGCCACGGACACGCTCTTTAAGAAGGTAATAGACCCACGACTCTCATCCCTGGTGGTTGGGGGGACTTAGGAAAGTGGCTCCTACATCTGGCGCCTTCAAGCCAGAGGCCTTGAGCCACTCGCTGCCAGGGACACACACCTAAGTGGACGGAAATTCACCCCCAGAGGGGTCAGGGGCATCTGCAGATAAGGCAGGCCCCCAGGCACATTAGAAAATAGCAAAAGGATACTTTTTACCACTCCTTGAATCTCCCCTGCATTCCCCTTCATAATACCCAGGACGGTCCATCTCACATTAATCTTGGGGCTTGGCAGTTAAGCGCATATCCAGCGCTCTCAGCTGTATAAGTGAACCCGAAACTCAGAAAACAATTTCTCTGATTGGAAAAGCCCACGCACCCTTGGTAGTCCCCGGAGGGACCAGGCTGCAGGTTCCCTCCTCTTTCCCCATCTGCACGGAGAGGCTGGGCTGGGCACAGCCAGCACCATCCCAGTGTCGGGTGGGCAGGGTGGAGGTGAGGGACTGGGCACTTGGGCGTGCCCCAACAACCAGAATTGCAGGAGGGCCGGGGGCCACCTGACTCTCGGTCCTCACTGTTCCACCCATGTGCTCAACCCTGAGAGTGGGCCGGTCGCAGGTGTGAGGGTGAGGAAGCAGCATCCGTGCCCAGGCGGATTGCGTTGTGCCAACAGCAGCAGTGAATGCTTGCAGGTAATGACAGCAGCAGCTGCCACATGGAACTTGCCCACCGTTTGCTACCAAAGAGATTTAGAATGCTTACCAGCCGGAGCGGTGGCAGGCACACTGGCAGCCTTGGTGGGTGCACGCATAGGGACTCCATTTGTTCCCTAGCAACAGGTAAGATATCAGAGAGCAAGCAGGGCTGGTAGCAGTGAAATTGGTTTTCTAAGCACCGTGTCTTGTGTATGAGAAATCTTTGTTTTAAGATACTTGCCAATAGAGACCTTTCACTCCAAGTGGTCTGGCAATTGTAGAATGGGCTCATCATACTTTTAAAAACGTTTTTAACAAACGAAAAAAGGAGAGTCATGAGCCCTTCCCCCCAAAAAATTTAATTTTGTTGGCCATGTTTAACTATAATTTTCTAAATTATGATGAGTTGCAATTGTAAAACATTTTCAGGCAGAATTCTGAGCCATTTTACCCCCAGATTTTAACTCTTAACTTGTTGAAGAGGGTATGCTGTTTGCTTTTCAGAATGACCTTTGGAACTGCGGGCGATGAGGGTGAAGTCATATCACAGAAAAGGCTTCCCCAACAGGTGCCACATCTGCACACATTAGACTCTCCTGATCCAGATTTCTCCAAGATGTGTGGAATTCCAACCAACACCCCTAGAGTGTTATTCAACATCACCTAAGAGAGACTTTTCCTACCAACTTAAAGGGACTAAATTGATGCTGCAGGACATGTTTAACGCTTAACCAAGCAGGAGGTTTTTCAGACCCTCCTGCTGAACTCCAAACAATTGATTTGATGCACTTAATCTGAGAATGTGGGTCATTGGACCCACTGGTTGTTTATTGATTTTAATGATGCTTTCTAATTTACTCTTACTAAATTGTCTCACCCTGAGTTCAGACACTAGCCTTTGCTGCATGTCTTTAAAGTAACTTTCTGAGGTCTGTGCTAATTCTCTCAAAAATTGAAATGTAACCAGACCTGTTACTTTTATCTATCCCATGCATTTTATCATTTTTCCACTGACTGAATTTAAGAGTTTGGGTTATGACAGCCCTTGGATGCCTTGTTTTAATTCTTATTTGTTCTTTATGATGTATATGGAAGTTGTTTTCTTGTGATTGCATTCAGGAACAGCAAATAGTAGGTTTCACAGGCCTAAAAGCTTCTATTGACTTAACAAACAAAAAAGGGGGAGATGTTGTAGACTGCTCTGCCTGGTTTCAGGAATTGTACCTCTACCCCTTGTGGCTAAGGGTGAGGGACAACCTCTGGAGTGCCAGCTGCAGGAGACAAAGCCTGTCTCTGGTAGCAAACACTGCCTCAGTTTCCTCTCCCTGCCCCCAAAGCTTGGTCGGAAGTCAATGACTGGTAAAACCCCTCACGGGCGGGGGTGGGGGGGCAACCTAAGCCAGACTTAATCACTTGGGAGGCCTTCATGAAAGGACTGGGGCTGGGGGCGGGCTGCAACAAACAGCATGGACTCTTGCCCCCACCCCCTCCCCCTCCCCCCCAGCTTTGACAAAGCCCCAGTCCCCATGTTCTCTGGGAGAAGTGCTTCCTAGCTCTAATCCCCTTAAGCCTGAATACCTGTTGGGGAGAGGTGTAGCTCCTTGCCTTGCTAGAGCGTGTCCTGGGGAAAAAATCTGGCATCATAAAGACTTCTTGATAAACTTGTGAAATCTGATCTGCTAAGAGGGCTTTCATTTGTATGATAAGGGTCCGAGAGGAAATGAGTATGTCTCCCAAAGTTTCTGCAACTCTGACAGACACTGATTTAGACTCTGAAGCCCTCAGATTTCTTTGAAATGTTATTTACTATTTGATCCTTGCCACCCTGTATTCCTGTGTTTTACAACCCAATAAAAGGCTATGGAGGAGGCACTCGGGACCTTTTACTCCTCGGAGAAACTGGCCGCTGCTGGCCTTTGTCTCCCCTGAGAAACTGGCCACAGCCCACTTCTCCTCCCCAAGCATATCTCAGCATGTCTTGGCCATTATTCACTCGTGGCACTGGAGGAAACTCACGAGAAAGTTGCTCCCACAATTCTTGTTTATCACTCTCCCTCACTTCCCCACACTAATTTTCATCATCAATTCTGATACCCTGGTCACACCCAAAAGTGTATGTTAAGATGATTGCTCACTATGATGATTGAAGTCTATGTTCTTAATATTTGGTTCTGGAACTTCCTACAAGAAAAAAGGACAGTTTTTTGCCTAGGAAGCAATCAGGAAAAAACGGTGAAGATTTTTCCTTCTTAAGAGGTTACTGTCCTTGAACAGTTAGTCCCTAAGTTTTGTTTTTGAGTTTGATGAATGCTGACCCCCCCCAGGATACTCGGCCTCTTGTCCCAGGTCCTGAGCACCCTGCTTCCCCTCTGGTCTTTGCTGGGAGATAGGAGTGAGAGAGAGGAGTGGGCTCTGGCCCTCTGATCACAGAATCCCTTAAGCATATCAGTTCCTGTCCACAGGCCAGAATTTCAGCAGGCCCTCCCCTCCACTGTGTGGGAATTTTCCTAGATAATGAGTTGAGGGAAATGACTTTTTTTTTTAGATTTTATTTTTAGAGAGATGGGAAT